ACTCACAGGGCAAACAGCCTCTAGTAAACACAGATGCACTGGGGACAGGGATTAACCTAGAGATGAAGACATTGTAATGAGTTGTTCTATATTTGCCCTCTATATCTGGCTCTTGTCAGAGGAGTAAACAGACTTCATCTTTAGCCGTGGTGTCTTCAAAGGAGCATTGCTAAAAAACAAGGTTAACTTGAACACCTAACTTACTAAAATCAAGGTTAACTTACTTATTGAGTCACAATTACACATTTGCTGGGACATTATTATTAGTCCTTTACATACTGAATACAATTGTCATGGTATCAGGGCTGGGAAGGAAGAACGTAGGGGGTGAGAGCTACAAAGGGTAAAAATAAAAACTTATAAACCCACCTTGGTACTGCAGGAACACACCACTTTTCACGTGAAACTAGAGCAGACACGTGGCCGAATCGTGGCGTGAAAGTGATCACCTGCTCGACTGGGCCACGCGTAAAAGAAAGCCCATGGCTGCGAAAAGGCTACAGCCTTTTCGCAGCCATGGGCTTTCTTTTACGCGTGGCCCAGTCGAGCTGAAGGAAGGAAAAGGCTGCACAGGTGGTTGATTCTCTCAAGAGGACAAAATTTGGTGTCCTCTTGACACAGCCTTAGCAGAAAAAAAGAGAAACCTGTGCACTGACACTACACTTGGCCAGATGATGAGGTTTTTATCTAAATCTGCTCACAGGAGCACACTTTAGCTAAACGAGCTCAGCTGAAATTAGACCAGTTCTGTGAGATTTTGCACTTGGTTATATCTATTTACTGGAAAGTACCAACACAACGGAGTATGTCTCCTCACAGGCTTCCTGAGCTCCTGACAGGCACACCAGATTCAATAACGGGGAAATGAATAGGGACATCACTAAAAAAGGATTCTATTATGAGGATTTTGGTGAACACTGAACCAGCAACGGACATTTCAGGCAACTGCAGAGGTTCTTGGATGCTTATTTGCATAAGCATCTACGCTAAAGAGAGCACACTCCATACGAAGCTACAAGCTATACGGACCTTTATCACTAAATCAGCAGATAGAGTCACCCAATGTTTGTGCAAATTGCGCTTCAGCCCTCCAAATCCCTGTGATTCTATACGAGTGCATTCAATTCAGCTGAAACAGGGAACACAAACCATTGCATCCTACTGAGCTTCTCTGCACAATCTCTCCTCCTTCCCTCTTTTCAAAAGGTCAAGTCACAGCTATTAGATGAGGCCCTCACAGCTAGGTGGTCATCGTTCCATTGGAGCTAGCGCAGTAAAATTCCATCCAGGATGATTTAGCTGCCTGGCTCTGCCTTCGAGGTGAGGTCTGAGAGGAGCATGCCACCCTCCTGTGATGTACTTAACCGGAGGTCATGAGTTCTACTGCTCAAGCTGGGGCTTTGCCCGTAAGCAGGATGTATCCAGGTCACTTGATCGCCAACGCAGGAGCAAAGAAACTTTGTGTGACGTGGGAAAGAGATGGCAAAGCTCATCACTGTTTTTGAAGACAGAGAATTAGAGAAAAGTGCAGACATAGATACTTGCCTCCACCTTGATGGCACAGCGCCCGATCGCCCGGACAGCCTTGCGCACAAAGTCAACGTCCACCTCGGTCGCATACTCCTTCAGCTCTGCCAGGACCTGCAGAGAAAGTGCACCGGCATGAGTCCCCAGGGTACACAGAGAGAACGTCCCAGGTGGTGACACTGGAATGCCAGAACGTGAGCAGGGTGTAGGCTCCCACAGGCATTCGAGTTTCACACCGTGAAATTCTGCAATCCACCTCTGAAACCCACCGGTTTGGATTAGGCAGCAAGACTTGGTTTTGGCTGGCCAAAGCCAGAAAGATGGCTTGGTCTAGATTGTTTCCAAATTCCCCTGAACAAAAACTGGGGGCAAAATCAGCCCTGCCAAACTCATATGCTGCTACTCCTTCTTACAGGGGAAATACAGTGAGGTAGGGGTCACACGCCCCCACACACAGATCTTTATGTACAGTTTATTGTACTTATTGATCTACATTCACTGCGTACAAAGCTCCCAGCAACAACCATTTTGATGTCTCCTGTGCTGAGATCAACCTCTGGATCCCTACTGGATCCAAAAGGAGGACGCAGAGGAGATCTGAGGACACCCTGGAACACCTATACAGAGATTAGATTCCCTCTCAGGAATAAGATTTCCTGCTGGTTTTGCTTATGGAAACAGAACAAGGGCTTGAACCAGGACCTGCTTTGACCTTACAGCCCACTAACTAAAAAGCTACTTTGTCTTAAACCACTTTGCTTAGGAAAAATAATTTTAAAACAATTCCCTCAAAATCTCATTCGTTTCAGTTTCTCATGTCAAACACGACATCAGGGATTTCATTGTGAGGTCACGAATTGATTGCAAGGGAGAGGTGAACAGCACAAAGCCAGACAGTTGTTTGGAAAAATCTCCAGTCGATGCAAATTGCTCAGAACAATGACAAGATAAAGAGGCCTCGAAGGGCCAGACTGCAGACAAATAAATCCACGAGTAGACAGGACATCAGCATTTGGAAGTTTTACTGTTTCCTTGGGTGATCTTTACAGCACAGCACTTGGAGTGCCCGGGTTTAGTAGTTTATGCTTTTCAAGTTCTGCCTGAGTCCAAGCAACTGGGATATAACCAGTTCACTCCAGAACAGGCATGGGGAGTCTTGATGAGCCACACGGGGAGGACGCGGGGAGAAGCCTGCTCTCCTTGGGGCCCGTTTCAGGGCGTATGTCTGACGAAGCTTGGGTTGTTTTTAGGAACTCCTCTTCAGAACCAGGAAGAGACTCATTCCTTAGCGTGCAGATCCCAGTCCCAGACTCTGCCCTCCAGACACCACCGCCTTTCATCCCAACAACCCGCATTATCTAAACATTACGCATTGAAATGGGTACGGAGCCTACCGAGAGCAAATAGAAAATTCAGAATACATTCTCATGGAAACCGATTTTTAAAATGTTTTCCGTGCCCCCAGCACAAAAGGGGCATGAATTACCTCGCTCTGCTCCAAAAAACAGAGGAGAACGCTGAAGAGAGCTGCTTAAAACCGTCACATTAAACGAAACTGCTCTGTGACAATTAGGATAGGACAACAATAGCACTAACCAGAGGCAGCAGTCACTCTGCATTAGTGTTGTGGCCAGAGTTGCACTCGAGAACACTTCCTTGTAGAAAGGAATTTGGATTACAACTTCACATCCAAAGGGAACCTACACTGTAGAGTCGTCTCAATTCAGTTTAGCCTTAGCTCTGCCGTGTTTCCACTCTGGAAGCCAGTTAAGCAAAGCAAAGGTTATTTTAGCTCTGCAGAGTGTCTGTGCAAGGGTTTAAGAGTTCAGAGGCTCGAAGCTCACACTTGGGCAATGTTTGGCCGTCCTGGCTGCCTCTGTCACAGGCACACCTCTCGCCTGACACGCGCCTCTCCGTTCCAGCCTCAGCACTAGCAGGGACTCACTGGGCAGGAGACACCCGCTCTCCTCCCGAATTGGAATCCGTAAAACAACTTTTACCCAACGGTCACGATGCAAGATTTGCCAGGCTATTAACATTTAAATTATGGAGGAAATATCAACACCTCCCATTAAGTGGCTGCAAAGCGCACTCTGCCAGGGTCAGTGAAGCCTAAAAGCCCGGACAATCCGAGCAGCAGTCACGTACATCCTCGTGCAACGACCGTGAGAGGGCTTCCCACCCCCGGATCACGCGAGAAGTTCCTCAGCTGACCTGGGCGATGTTTGCTTGCGAAGCGAGGCGGATCATGATGTCCAGTTTCTCCAGTTTGACATAGATGGGGTCGTTGTACTTGACGAAGAACACCTTGATTTCCTGCTTCAGGATTTCAGGCCTGGAGGGAACGTAACATTGTTTCACTCCAGACTGGCAAAACCAAGAGGCTTTATCCTAACCAAAAGTATCTTTGTTGCTTAGAAATCTACCCAAATGCTCGCTGAGAAACAGAACGGTGTCACGTTGTGTTCAGGACACAGAAACAAACACATGAGAATGACAATTTGAAGAAAGTTGGAAGGCAGCAGAAAAAGACCGTTTAGGGACAAAATGCAGAATTCGAGTGTCTCTAGCTACGCCTACATCTCTGCTTGCTCCGTGTGAACTGCTGAGCCAACCGCCGCAGGCCATCAGGGGCTAACAGTGCTTTCTGTGACAGAATCACAGCATTAGCTCAATGCAAAGCCTGCCCACAACCTAATTTTCTGCTTTCACTTGCAAGGTGCCAGTGCACAGTGGCTCTGCTCTGAATACAGCCACAAAGCGCTGTCCAACCTATGCCACCTCTCCAGCAAGGAACAGCAGCATTTAAACACGAGCATGGGTGAAAAATACAACCCACCGTGGGTCAGTGTATCACCAACCTGGTGGTTCCATGCTGAAGGGAACAGCAGAGGCACAGTGAGTTTCTAGAGTTCACTATGAACTGTACAGTTACGTTCTCCCTCCCATTTGCAATCTGATTTACCATCTAATGAGAGGGCAGTTCTTTACTGCTCTTAAAAAGGTGGTAAAGAGAGAGGCAGGTAGAGATACAGGATCCAAAACTGTATCGCAACTATGCTGTAAAGAAATTTAATTCAGGCTACCAGAGTCACACGACTCTCGAGAGACCTGAACCTGGATTCTGGGTGTATGAAAAGATCCAAAGGTCTGAGATAACCAGATGCCCTTTAACAGCCCCACAATAACACCGCCCCAAGGTTTTACCTTTTCTGCACAATCAAGTTGATGTTCCTCAGGGCAACGTACTGAACTTCGGGCTCTCCAGACAGCAGGGTCACCAGCGGAGGGGCAAGTTTCTTCAGCAGCATGTTGTAATAGTCAGAGTCCTTGGGAAGGAGTTCCAGGAACTTCATCAAGACCTTCACTGCAGACAGCACCACTGCCGAGTTGGCGTGAGACAGCCGAGGGGTCACCCGTTCACAAATGCTAGAGACAGAGGAGGAGAAAGGGTTTACATGTATTTCAGAAGGTCAAATATTTCACATCTTGATCTGGTCATGGCTGAAGAGAGCTTCTCAAGACACTACTCACACTGGGGTTTGCTCACAAAGACCAGGCAAAGCCCGGATTTACTGAAAACGGCAGGAAGCCAACAAGAACGACTTCTCCCACAGCTTCAAATTTTCTCTCCTGCCCCCGTTAGCTCAGGAATTCTTCCAGCTCTCAGCACTACGGTCCCAAGGCACGCTCAGTTTTTAGTGCTTTCTGCCTTTGCCTGGGGGTAGCCTCTATTTCTGTGACCTGGCCCATCACTTACAACCACAGCTTTAACAAAACAGCCATCCGAAAAACACTTTAGCCCCCACACAATCATTCAGAGGTGATACACACTTCTGGCTTATTTGGGGGCTTTGCTGCCAATTCAACCCTTTGTTACTGTGAAAAAAAATTTTTAAAAATTCTGTTACTCCGCAGATACAGGAAAAGAGCGACTTAAACACCCTCCCAAGTCTCAGCTTCATCGCTTGCCTCAGCGGATCCTATCATCAGCAGGATCCTAAACAACCCATCCCAAGCAGAAAGGAAGTTTGGGTTCATATGGTATTTCTTACAGCATCTGTCAAGTTTCTCGCCACCCCCTCCTGCGCACTGCAAAGCCAGAACAACCTTAGTCCCATCTGTGCCTCCTCAGGTTTCTTCCCCTGAAAGATTTGCTTCCCTGGAAGGGAAGCAGCACGGCTGAGGGAAGAGCAGAGGAATCTAAAAGGTGGGGGCAGTCCCAGCTGCCTCTGCCCCCGCTCACGCTGCTTCAGCTCTCCGTGCCTCAGTTTCTCTACACACGAGGGCAACGACACCAGCTTTGCTGCAAAGGAGAACATTACATGGAACTAGACATTGTCATTCTGCTGTACAAAAAGAAGACGGGCTCCAAACTCCGCACAAAGGAGGAAAAGTAGTTTCTGCCCATCTGGTTTTATACACCACTCCTCACAGAAATTACAGATGAGGAACTGGGACACGCTCGCAGTTGCTCAAACTCGTAGTCCCTTTCTGACAAAGCTAAGATAATACCGACCTGACACCCTGGAGATCTCTGCGGGTTCCTAGCACTCATTAATAGCTGGTTCTCGCACAGAAACACTGTGCAAGGGGGAGGGGGGGGAAAAAAAAAAAAAGGAAAATTGGCAGCAATACTACTGACAGGCTTTTTAACAGAGGGGATTATCTGCTGTGCCTCAAAGCCCAGTCCATGAAGAAACCCACCCAACTCAAAAAGGCCTGCGCAGGATCTCGCACATGCCCCTTCCTCTCCCTCCACCCCTATATCATCTACATGAAATACAGCAAGTCTGAGAATTCCCCCGGCCCAAGTAATTTTCCTTGTTCTCTCGGGTACAGAATGTGACTTTTTGCAATTCTGGACACAGATGAGGAGAAGGCCTGAAGTGGACAAATCAACACTCCACTACCTAAAGCCTAAGATCTTTGTACTTGGGTTTAGCCCTTGCAGCTAAAGGTAGAAGCACAGAGGTGAATTAGGAGTGAGAAAAACCCTTTATCTTCAGTTCTATCCCATCACAGACAAGTTTTAGCTGGAAAGAATACTCCAGCCTCAGACCTGTACTACTTTGGAAGACCTCAAGCCTGAAAGCACTTCTTGCCTCTCCAAGTAGCAAAACCAGATTTGAAAGCTCTGCTTTAGACCAGAAAATCCTCCAAACAGTGCTTCTGCTCCTACAGGTTTGGTCTTGGGCTCATCCCTTCTTAGTAACAGCAGTTCTCATAAGAACTAGCCCTTCATATGGAAAAAAAAACAAAAGAAAGAAGCTAGCGTTACACAGACAAAGTGGTTTTACAAAGGGAAGGGCCAGGTTTCCAGCACCAGCCTGAAGTACCAAAAGTTGCCTCCCTTTTAAACCTTTTTCCTCAAGTCCTGTTTGTGCTGTTACAGACCTCAACAGAGCCCACGAGCCGTGCTCAGAGCTGCAGCGCTGCCAGGAGCCTGCAAGCGCCCGCTGCCAAATAACCCAGGCGGCCCGCGCGAAGAGCGGGAACAAGCGTACCTCTGCGCTTCGCGATCGTCCTTGGGGTTGTAGTTGGACAGGCAGTCCAGGATGAAGATCTGGCCCCACTCTGTGCACTCATTCAAAGCCGTCAGCAGCTTGTTGATGTTCTGAGGGTTCAAATCCAGCAGGTTGCTGTTGGGGTGCGACTCGCTGATTTCCGACAAGGCAGCCACAGCGTTTGCTACCACCTGGGAGAAAAGACAAGACGACACATTCTCTGCTCGTGTGCCACCGCTGCTTGGCAGGGATTAACTCGGGCTTAGCACACGTCACGTACGGGAAGCAAATGCGGAGACCCCGGTGTGTGCTATCACCAGCTGCCCAGCAGCAGCTGCCACGTCAGCGATCGAAGCCTTCGGTGCCCCAGCACAGCCTCACAACCAACCAGAGAGCCCAAAGCTTGACTGTAATTTTGGTCTTTGCCAAAATGAGAGGAGTTATCTTGAGGAGGGAGTGGAAGAACGGCAGCACGGCAGGAGAGGGCTGCTGACACTCCCAGCAAACATGAAAAGTTAGCACGGGCCCAATGCTAGAGAAATTACACCTCAAAAGTACTTCTGCTGAAGATAAACAAAAGTTCAAGTTGCCTCTGGGCAGAATGGGAACGTGGGACCAGCACCTCACAGGAGATTTTACTCTGGAGGGAACGAGAAATGACACCAGAGTGTCCACATGGAACAAGAACATCTCACCTTCCTGCGCGCTCCAGGCTTCCACCCCAGCTTGCTTCACGTGGGCATCAGCCCTCCCCACTTCCAGGAGACGCTCAGCTGAAACACTCAAGGTCTCCAACCCTCTAACTGCCCTACTCATTTCGGATCAGACGCCTCTCGCCTCATTTCCCTTAGGCAGTCCCATGGCACAGCGCTTAGTGCGATCCAAGTAACGAGCAGACGCGCGGTGCCAGGCGGCCTTCGCCTCTGCACCAACACTCTCGGGTCACCCAGCTCGAAAGTAAACACCCCATTTCCCTAAAATGGACCAACTCCTGCTACATTTTTAATAACACATACTTCCATTGCAAGCAGTCTCCTCAGCATCCATTTGTCTGCTTTATGGAGTCCCCTTAAAGCAAGTGCACCAGCACAACGCATGGCTGAAAACATTATTGCTACATTTAAGACTCTCTAAGGTCTTCTCTTTCTTAAGCACGGGTGAAAGAAGGCAGAAAGGAGGCCCAGGGTCCAGCTTGACATAGCAAGAAGTGGGAGCACAACACATTTTTAATTCTTAATTCCATACTCAAGTTCAGCAGTTACTCTAACAGATGCCCTGTGAAGATTTTTAAAATAGAAGAGTATATAGACAAAAATATAGAGACAAATACAGAGACAAAACCAAAAAAGCCACTGGCAAGACCAAAGACTTATTTTTTTAACTAAGCAGAAAAGGTATTTAACCCCGAGGCTGACACACAAACCTGAAACACCCTAAGAAAAGACATTTTCAGAGTATTTTACAATGTATATCGTGTCTGGCCCAACCCACAATGCACAGCTGCTAAAACGAAGATGTATCGCTTACTTTCTATGGGGCAAAGGCAAAGAAACAGTTTACCTAAAATAATCTGATTATTTGGATGACTAAAGATGCTTTTGACGCGGCACGCCGAAAACAAGAACAGCGCGACCAGAAAATTCTCTGCATTGTTCCCATCACTGCTTGTCATTAAACCAATATATTCCAAAGTCACTGCACAAGCACAGCGCTGTTGATTGTTTTGCATTTCACACCTAGAGGTCAGAGACAGGATTCGGATCCAAGATTTTATGAATTTCATTAGCTGAATGAGCCTTCTGTCACCAGAATCATTAGCAATCAGAACTGCTGTCCCCTTGCGCTGTTTTAATGAGTAGCTTATTAAGATACGCTGCTTGTTCTTCCCATTATTTATTCTGCCTAATTCCCGAATGGTTAATGTGACACAGCATAAAACCCAAGGAAAAAGACTGCTTTAATTCCATTACATTTTTGGAAGTTTACAAGCGAAGACAAATCATAAAAACCACCGAGAAGTTCAAAATCGTTACAAAAAAAGCACTTACAAAATGAAACGAGGACTTTGGAAAAATAATCTGAAGCACTAAAAGAAGTGACTCGAGACCCAAAGGACCCCAGGAAGGTCAGTGGCACCGAGGAGCTGGGCTGAGCCCTGGCAAAGGCACCGGCGCTGCCCTCCCTGGGGCAGGTACCGGCCAAAGCAGCTGTGCCCCAGTTTCGTTCCTGGCGGAGCAAGTGAAGTCTCTCACTTCGACCTCAGGATGAACAGAAACGTCGCTGCCACAGACTGCCCGGCACCCGGCAGCTCTGCCCACAGAGCCCCCTGCCAACCAGAGCTCGCTTTCAGATCTTCTGGGCTTTATTGCAGGAGCTAACACACGGCAGCACAGAATCACAGGATTGTCAGGACCTTACAGATCATCTGGTTCCAACCCCCCGTCATGGGCAGGGACATCCCCCCAGATCAGGCTGCCCAGAGCCCATCCAGCCTGGCCTGAAAAACTCCCAGGGATGGGGCTTCCTCCCCTCTCTGAGCAACCTGTGCCAGGGTCTCCCCCGCCT